ACGCCAATCAAAAAGTGTAGGGGAGCTGAATGGATACAAAAACATGACCCAACTATATGCTGCCTACAAGAGACCCACCTCAAAACAAAAGACATACAAAGGATGAAAGTGAAGGGATGGGAAAAATTTTCCGTGCAAATGGAAAAGAAAAAGAAAGCTGGAGTAGCAATACTCATATCTGACAAAACAGACTTTAAAAGCATCATGCTAAGCGAAATAACCCAGTCGAAGAAAGATATATATGATCTCACTCATTTGTGGAATATAATGAACAACATAAACTGATGAACAAAAATAGAGCCAGAGGGGGGAAAAATATACTAGAAGTAACCCTGTTATTTGCTGATTTTTAATATTTCCTACAACTTTTGTGATATCATACTATGTTAGTACAGTTTTGGTAATATTATACTTAAAATCCTTTTATTCTTGAAATATTAATGTTTATTGCATGTAATATTATTATATGTAAGATCATTTTTCTTAAATAATTAGTGTTTATTGCATGTAACATTATCATACTAGAGGCTCGATGCACAAAATTTGTGCAAGAGTAGGCCTTCATTCCCCTGGCTGCCAGCACCGGTTTCTATCTGGCACCCAGGATCCGGGCTTCCCTCGCAGCCGTGGCTTCATGTGGAAGGCTGTCCGGTGTAATTAGCATATTATGCTTTCATTATTATAGATTTAAAATAGTTTTTCTTGAGATATTAATGTTTACTGCATGTAACATTATTATATTTAAGATAGTTTTTCTTGAAATATTAAGGTTTATTGCATGTAGCATTATATTTAAAATTGTTTTTCTTGAAATAAAAAAAAACATAAAAAAAAAAGAGTTTGGCTCTTGTGGTTGTAATTCAAGTCCATCTTCATCCATGGCCTTTAATTTTCATCAGTCACAGCTCCTCACACCTACAGCCTTCACCTCCAGGCCAGGCCTCTATGAGAGGCCCCTCAACCACCTCTAGGGTCACCGGGTGACCCTCCACCAACCCCCAGCCCATTTATGAAGCACACCTCTGCCACCCTCCCAGGGCAGCCAGGCTCCTCCCTGGACCTTACTCCTCAGGGACTGCTGGGCACCGCCCATCATGCCACCACGGAAGGGCAATTGGTGGGCTGCCCCATGGGTCAACCACCAGGCGGACAGGTCACTGCATGAGGCTGGCCTTGGGGCACCTGGAACTCACCAGGGTACAGGGAGAGATTTTTACATCAAAAAGAATTGCTGCCCTGACTGGTTTGGCTCAGTGGATAGAGTGTCGGCCTGCGGACTGAAGGGTCCCAGGTTCAATTCCAGTCAAAGGCATGTACCTTGGTTGCAGGTGCATCCCCAGTAGGTGGTGTGCAGGAGGCAGCTGATCGATGTTTCTCTCTCATCGATGTTTCTAACTCTCTCTCTCCCTTCCTCTCTGTAAAAAATGATAAAATATATTTAAAAAAAAAAGAGAATTGCTAAAAGGTGTCAAGATCAGAGTTCCAAGAAGAAGGATTTAAAATTTATCCATTGCAATGGTTCCTATAGGAGAGACTTTTAAAAATCTAAACTGAGTAGCATACAGGACATACATTTGTTCTGGAATTTACAAGTAAAAAGTTAGGTTTTTATTGTTCTTATACATATTGAGACCATAAACAGGTAATTAAGAGGTGATACCTAAGTATGAAATGTCTAAGCCCTAAACCTCACATCCAGTTTATTGTTCTACCCAGAGAAACTTTTTTTTAATTTTTATTTTATCTTTTATTGATTTCTTACAGAGAGGAAGGAAGAGGGATAGAGAGTTAGAAACATCGATGAGAGAGAAACATCGATCAGCTGCCTCCTGTACACCTCCTACTGGGGATATGCCTGTAACCAAGGTACATGCCCTTGACTGGAATCGAACCTGGGACCTTTCAGTTTGCAGGCTGACGCTCTATCCACTGAGCCAAACCGGTTACGGCAACCCAGAGAAACTTTTAGTAAAAATTGAGAAGTTTTGTACCAACAGCCAAAGTCCACTTTTAAATAGTCTCAATTTCACTAATACATATAATTAAGAGGGATATGGCACTGCTCTCACACAAGAGCACAACGTCCCTGTGTCCTTAAAAGGGAACAGGAATAATGTTTAAAACCTGTCTTTAAGAATTTAAAAAAAAATAACTTGAAACAACAAATAGTCCATGCATTTCTTTGCAAATTAATTTTATGTGGGGAGGGGAAAAGTAAGTGAAAAACAATTTATACCTCCTCTGAAATAGTAAACTGTTTGGTTTTTCCAGAAGAATCCACTGGTTCTTGGTTTTCCATGTTCAAACTAGTCAGTCTTTCCAGTTCTTAGGCAAGAAGTTGACACTGCAAGAGAATGAGATATGTTTTGGCTACGTTTATTTTTCTGAATTAAACATCTGTTGATAAGCCACTGTTCAAAGTACCTAAATGGAAAAAACTAATTTATCATCAAAGCTTCTTTTCTCATCTGAAGATCTGGGAGAACTGTCGTAGGTGGAAAAGTAAACACAGAGGCCTCCGAGTAGGGTTGGGGAACCTTTTTTCTGCCAAGGGCCACTTAGATATTTATACCATCATTCTCAGGCCCTACAACATATCAACTTAAAAACGAGCCTGCTATATTTGGCAAAACATTTAATGATTTTGGGCTGGATGTTCCCCACCCCTACCCTTAGAGCATCCAGGGAAGAACTTAAAAGCCATCCCAGTCAGGTCCAGTCCACAGCAGCCAAGTTCCTCTGGGCATGTGCTAGGACACCTTAGATAACATTTTTAGATTTTCTGACTTTACATTTAATAGACATTCCAAGGGGACAGTACAAAGATGGTATACTATTCCCCATGCCACCGCTCAACTATTGTCCTTTATCTTCCCTTTATAGCTAAACATCAAGAGTTGTATGGGCTGTGGTACATCTACACAATGGAATACTATGCTGCTGTAAAAAAGAAGGAATTCTTACCATTTGCAACAGCATGGATGGAACTGGAGGGCATTATGCTAAGTGAAATAAGGCAGTCAATGAAAGAAAAATACCACATGATCTCACTCATTTATGGATAATAAAGACCATTATAAACTGATAAACAAAAATAGATACAGAGGCAGAGTAGCATCGAACAGACTGATAAACTACAGTGGGAAGACTGGGGAGGTTTGGAGGGGAATGGGGTAAAGAGTTGTATGGGCTGGCTATTTCTATCTTCCATTTAATTTTTTTTACTTGTGGTAAATAGATATACCATGTTAATATTTAAAATGTACAGTTCAGTGATATTCAATACATTTACATTATTGTGGTCCATTCACTTTAAAGTTTTAATGTGCAAAGTTGCAGTTAACTAGGACTACAAGATCTGTGATGAGAAGAAAAGTCCCTTCCCATTTGTTTTTACTACTCTTTCCTCTATCCTGGCTAAATTCCCTCATTTTTTTGTACCCTGAATGTCTGGACATGTTTTATTCGATATGAGTTGATTGATAATCTGGCTATATATAGAATTACTAGAGGCCCGATGTATGAAAATCATGCAGGGGGGCGGGAGGAGGGTCCCTCAGCCCAGCCTGCACCCTCTCACAATCTGGGACCGCTGGCTCCTAACCACTTGCCTGCCTGCCTGCCTGATCACCCCTAACCACTCTGCCTGCCTGCCTGATTGCCCCTAACCACTTGCCTACCTGCGGCAAGGTAACCCCTCTGCCTCAGCCCCTGCCCCCACAGCTTCACCAGGAAGGACGCCCAGAAGGTCGTTTGGCTGTCCGATCTAATTAGCATATTACGCTTTTATAATTATACATGCACTGAAAATAATTTTCTAGCAGAAATAGGGAGGTGGTGCTCAGTTGTTTTGCTTCTGGTATTTCTGTTAGGAAATCTGAAGCCATTCTGATTCCTGATCCTTTTTCTTTGAGACCTGCTTTCTTGCTCTGCAAACTTAGTTATTCATGTCTTCATGTTGATGTTACTGTGTTGGGCACTCAGTGGATCCTTTCAATCTGGAAACTTCAGACACACATTCTTGATGGGGAACTTTTCTTGAATTATTTCACCAATAACCCCATACCCCCATCTTCTCTGCTTTCTCAGGAACTGAAATTTAGCTATTGGACTTCCTGAATTCATCCTGTCTTGTCTTTTTCATTCCTATTTTCTGTTTTCTTGTTATTTTATTTACATTTTTCAATGGCAATTCCAGCCCTTCACTGCTTTTAAGTCCCATAGTTCCCTACCTACCCCACCTCCCAACTTTTGCTCTAGAGAAAATACAGGCATTAAGAATTATTACCTCTCTTACTGTCTTAGAGGAAAAAAACTGGCTTTGTTCTACATTTCTCCTGGGAATTAAAGTAATAATTAAACTACCCATCACATCTTCAATATTTACCTCAGACAGCAAGTTTCCCCCATTCTAAAATACAAGCAACAAAACAGAAACAATCAACCTTCTCATAACCCTGTTTTCTCCTCCAAACTTGTCAGACTTCTTGAAAGAACAGATAAAACTATCTTTACTCTATCTTTACACAATCTATTTCCCTAACTAAGAATACCCATCATTCCCAAGCTAGAAATTAAAGTATCTTCAATCCCCTATTTTTCTTTACCAGCCATAACTTATCCACTGCAAATCCTAAAAATTCTAGCTCTAACATCCCCACCATCACTACTCCCACTTAGGATGAAATAATTTTCAAAACTATCTCCTAGATACTAGATTTTCCTTTACATTGTCCAACTTTCAACACTGCTCACAGCTATGTTGCTATAAAAACTCCCTAAAATCACTGCTGAATAAATAAAGGAAGGAATAAAGTGAATCTGGCTGGATAAGTCTAGAGAGTCATTCTACTCCTAAGAATTAGGTTAGTGTGGGGCCTGCTTAGACTTGTTCAATTGTTCCTCATCTACTTGTTTTTATTTGACTAAGTTAGTTAAACTCAACTTCAAAATTATCTTGGCACAAAGTTAAATGACTCACACTGCCTAATTTCAAAACTTACTGTAAAAGTAATCAAGATGGTATGGGTACTACCATAATGCTAGACATATATATTGATGGAATAGAACCCGGGAGTCCAGGTTTATGGTCTTTTGATCATCAACAAGAGTGCCAAGACAATTCAGTGGGGGAAAGAATAGTCTTTACAACAAATTGTTCTGGGACTAGAAATGCACATAAGAATGAAAATGAGCCTCTATCTATAACATATAAAAATTAACTCAAAATGGGCCAAAGACCTAAATCTAAGAGCTAAAACTATAGAACTCTTAAAAGAAAATATAAGTGTAAATCTTCATAATCTTGGATTAGGCAGTGGTCTCTTAGATATGACACCTAAAGCCCAAGGCAATCAAAGAAAAGAGATAAATTGGGACTTCATCAAAATTAAAACCTTTTGTGCTTTGAAAGATACTATCAACATAGTAAAAAGATAATCCACAGAATGAAAAAAAAAGTTTGCAACTCTGATAGGAGACTGTATCTGAAATATGTAAAAAACTTTTATAACAATATTTTAAAGACAACCTAATTGAAAACAGGCAAAGGATCTGAATAGACATTTCTCCAAAGAAAACCTACAAATGGCCAATAAGCACATGAAAATATGTTAAAAATCGGTGGCCATCAAGGAAAGGCAAATCAAAACCACAATGAGACAACACTTCACCCCCCACTACAATGATTATTATAAAAGACAGATAATAACAAGTGTTGGTGAGAATATGGAGAAGCCATATTAACCAGAGTTCCCACATGACCAAGTAATTTCACTCCTAGGTATATAACCAAGAAAAATGAAACATGCTCACACAAAAACTTGTACAGAAATGTTCATGAAAGTATTATTCTTAATAGCCCCAAAGTGGAAATAACTAAATGTCTTATCAATTAATGAATGGGTAAATAAAGTATGGTGTTCCTTACAATGGAATATTATTCAGCCATAAAAAGCAATAAAGTTCTCACACATGCTACAACATGGACGAACCTTGAAAACATCTATGCTAAGTGAAAGAAGGCAGACACAAAAGGCCAAATATTGTGATTCTATTTACAAGAAATATCCAGAATAGGCAAATTCGTAGAGACAGAAGGCAGATTAGTGATTGCCAAGGGACTGGGGGAAGGAAGGAGGGAATAGGGAGTGACTGCCTATGGGTATGGTGTTCCTTTTGGATGAAAATGTTCTGGAATTAAATGGTGATAGTGGCACAATCTTGTTAATATACTAAAACCCACTGAATTTTAGTTTAAGGTGAATTTTATGGTGTGTGAATTACATCTCAATTAACTTTGCATTCTTAAAATATCTAACAGGCAAATGTTCAGGATAGCTGGGTTGCTGAAGGTCACACTGGGTCCACAGATTGACAAAGCTAGCACACTAGTCAAGGAATTCTGCCTTGGACTCAGCAGGCTAGTGAAGGAAGGCATTGCTGTACCAAGCAACCACTTTACTCTCCTCTGGGTGTATATTTTGCCTGATGTGCAACATGTATTTCTGTTGTAAAATCAAATGTATTTCTGCTGTATTAAAATGTTATCAACATTGTTGCTTGCCAGTTATGGGTAAACCTAGAAATTCAATTTTTAATAAGGACTTTGGCAAAGAAGCAAATTTTGAGGCCTTAGGTAAGAAAAGATGACGATATGCTAAATAAAAACCACTTAATGATGAGAGAAAGATATATCTATACATCTTCACACTCATTTAATATGTGAAGAAGTATGCACAACTAATTAATATTCATAACCAATTGAATATCTTAGGCAACTTGGCTAAAGCAGCTTGTGGCAGAGCCACTGAAAGTGAGAGAAGATCCTTAGTGTTAGGAATACAGTTGTGTACAGAACAAAGGCCCTGCCCTGCAGGAGTTTACCTTCTGGTGGGGAGAAAAAGTGAGGAACAATATACATAATTTCTGTCAGGTGACTAAGTTTTATTGAGAAAGATTAAGGAAGAAAAGGAGAGTGAAAAAGATGGCGGGG